GCCAAGGGGGAGGTCAGCCGCTCGCTGCGCCGGCGCCCCGGGGGAGCCCCTCGCCTCCCCCAGCCCACCCGCCGAGCCCCCGAGAGATGATTTGGGTCCTACCTGCCACCCGGGAACGGTCCCGCTGCTCCTTGGGACAGCTCCGCTCCATCGCTGGGGTCGCTGTTCTCCATCGCATGCACGAGAAGACACCTCGCATTCACATCGTCGAGACGCAGTTAGACGGAGATGCTGGTGGGACCAGGAGGAAGCCAGAAGCTGCGCCATCCCCTTCCCGAATGCTCACTGGGAAATCTCCGCCGCAGCTGCGCTCCCGCTCGCCGACCGGTGCTGCAGCCCTGCGCAGGCGTGATTCCCGGGTCCCTGCTGCAGCTCTCCCCCCGGGCCGGGCTTCGTCCCCCCGGTCCCCGCATGCCTGCACAGGAGGGTTTGAAATCCCTGAGCTGCTTCCAGGAGCTCCCAGCCCCGCAGCCTGCAGCTCGTGCCAAATGCACACCAAGCACCGACGGGTCTGCGGTGCCCGTGGAGAGCGGGCGAGACCCTCCGGCAAGGTGGGCAGCCCCCAGCCCCTGCTGCCCTGCCGGTGAGGCCTGGGGACGCAGCAGCGGGGACCGGGGTGGCAGGGAGACCCCCTGGCTGCAAACCGGCTGGGACCGCTGTTATCCCAGATGGAGCAGCTGCTCCCAGGCACAAGGCCTCGGCACAAGGACACGCTGTTGTTTGCAAGAAGAACCAAAACAGAGCAGGCAGAGCCACCCCTCTGACTCTGGGCTGGGGGGGCTGGAGGGGCACAAGCCCCTCTGTGCCCCTTGGGAGGGGACACGCAGGGACAGTCATGCCGTGCCATGGCATGCAAGGCAAATGCTCCGGGTGGCCAGTCCCCAGAGCGGCACGCAGAGACCCACAGCCTGCTAGGAAGCTGTGCCAAAAAGACACCCGAGTCCCTCAGGAAGGTCTGGTTAACGGGGACCCCCACCCCGACACTCACCGGCTCCCAACACCACCTCGGCATCTCCTCTGGACATCCCTCGGGGGTCCCATGCCATCGCTGTGCCGCCAGGCTGCCTGCTGCGTCCGCTGAGCCTGCGAGGAGAAGGGACGGCAGCCCTCCTGCGGCACCGGGGATGGCACCGGGGATGGCACCAGGAGCAGCAGCGGTGCCGCAGGCATCGGGGATGGGATTCAGGTCCCAGCACCTACCTTGTGCACCGGGAAGGTGCCTCTCTGTCGGGGCAGGAGGGAGCACGGCTGGTCTGGCTGGCCGACTCCACGCCTGCTCCAGCACCGCTCGCCTGCTCAGGGCAGGATGAGGCCTGAGCAGCTCGGACCTGCCTAGACCCACCCAAACCCTCGGCTGGTGATGCCGAGCTGAGGGTGCTGGGGGCAAGGGGCTCGCACCCGCGAGGGGACGCCCAGGAAGATGGCACGGCCCCACTCCGGGACAGGAACCCAGCACCCTCCCACCCACGTCCCATGGGGGCAGGAGGAGGGAGAAAACACCGGGGGAGGCAACACAGCCAGAAAAGCCCCCACAGCACCCGCTGAGCCCCCGTCCCCCATGAAACGCTCCCCCAAAACACCCCCCGCGTCCCCACGCAAAGTCACCACGAGAAGACACCTCGCATTCATGAGTCACCACGCAGCTCCGATTGCAGATTTTAGCTTAAAAATGTACATCCAGGCGCTCAACGTACAAATATTTACAACAGCTTACAAATGTACAAAACCGGATCGAATGTAAACCAAAGGCGCCGGAGGCAGAAATTCACCGGGGCCCAAAGGCACGGGAGCCTGGGTGCCCGCAGCATGGCCCCCCCAGCCTGCGTGCACTGCCCCTTGCACACCCACGCACGCTGCCTGCCCTTCGCACGTCCACACGCGCTGCCCCTTGCACACCCACGCACGCTGCCTGCCCTTCGCACGTCCACAGGCGCTGCCCCTTGCACACCCAAACACACTGCCTGCTCTTTGCATGTCTACATGTGCTGTCTTTTGCACACCCAAACACGCTGCCTGCTCTTTGCACATCCACACGCGGTCCTTTGCACACCCGAACACGCTGCCTGCTCTTTGCACATCCACACGCGGTCCTTTGCACACCCGAACACGCTGCCCTCTTTGCATCTACATGTGCTGTCTTTTGCACACCCAAACACGCTGCCTGCTCTTTGCACATCCACACGCGGTCCTTTGCACACCCGAACACGCTGCCTGCTCTTTGCACATTCACACGCGGTCCTTTGCACACCTGAACACGCTGCCTGCCCTTCGCACGTCCACACGCGCTGTCCCTTGCACGCCCACATGCGCTGCCTGCCCCTTGCACACCCACGCATGCTCGCTGCCCCTTGCACACCCAGCCCCACGGGCGCCGTGCCCTTGTGCGCCCCGCCAGCCCCAGGGCAAGGCTGGGGCACCCCGAGGCTGCCCTGAGCTGGCCCCTGAGGACGGAGGGAGCCCCCCACCACCCCCAGCCCAGCCACGTTCAAGAAAATTCCCTTTTCTGAGCCCAATTCACATTGTGGCGGCTGGAGCAAGAGGGGGGAGGCTGTGTCCTCCCAAGGAGGAGGCTCTGCCGGGTTGGCCCCGTCCCTCCCGCTGCGGGGACCCCGCGGCATGGCCGGGGTGAGTCAGGGGCACCCCTCGCTCCAAGGCTGCCTTTGTTTCTATTTGGAGAGCACAGATAAACCCGCAGCCCCCCTGCGCCCGCAGAGGCCATGCACTGAGCCGGCGATAAGATAACGGGCTCAAACGCAGCAAAAATAGGTCCCTGCCCTGGCCCCTTCCCCGGCAGCGGCTCGGGGGGGCGAGGGGCGGTGGTCCTGCAGCAGGAGCCCCCGAGAACAGGCTGGACACGCCGTGGGGCTGGGGGAAAGGGGCTGGGGAGCTGCCAGGGTCGGGGTCTGGCGAACTCTGCTCCCGGCCCAGTGCCCCTCCATCACCCCCTGCCCGCGCCGGCATCCTGCCTCGCCTCCGCGAGCATCCCCGGAGACCCCGGCCCTGGTCCAAGACAACCCTGAGAGGGCACAGGGGGGCCTGGGGGCTGCCCGGCCCTGGTGGCTCCCCCCGGGATGGCGAGAGGGGTCAGGATGGTGCCGGTGCCGTGGCTGGGGCTCGGCAGGCGGAGTTGGCCGTGGGAGGGTGCGAGTTCACGGCGGCCGGGTCGGGGGGGTGGATGGTGGTGCCGATGGTGTACTCGGCCGGCTGCAAGGGACAGACAGACAGCAGGCAGTGAGCCAGGGGGGTCTTAGGGAGAAACAC